GATCATTGATACTCTGCTGTTTAGATAACTTAGAAATAAAGAAAGGAAAAAGAAGTATTCTATCAATATTAATTACAATTTAGGATGTCGGTATTATAAGCATAAGATTATTTGCCTTTTTCATCCAGAATTGAATATAACATTAGAAACAAAAAACGCTGCAGATTGCATCAAAGTATTTATTGTACAATAAAGGTTTTGGTCTTCAGCTGATTACTAGTGTTAAGGTCTCTGTTGTATTGTTATTTTTTTTACGCGTTAGGAAAAAGTAGATAGGCAAAGAAAATTTAACAGTTTAAAAAAAGAAAAATAACTATTGGGTTTCTAACTTCCCCCTTTTTATACATCTGCTGATTTACAACATTTGTAGATATTTAGGCACCCTTAGAAGCCAAACTGTAAGTGATTGTATTTGCCACGCTGCGTGATTTATTGTATGCATGGGAACCATTCTTGCTTAAATTTGGTTAAACTTCTATTGTGAATATATACTGTTAGTTTTGCCGTTGCTGCATATTCTCCAAGTTTAAGTTTTTCCCTTCCATACTAGACTTAGGAAAAGGAATATAGGTAACTATTGCCATATAATTTGGGTGCATGTTCTATCTGTCCTATGTTCTTTCTGGTTTAGTCTATTGTTTTGAACCCTAGTTTTTCTTTTAATGTAATAGTGACTACCACTGACTTCCTTACTGTGAGAGGAAAGGCAATAGGAAAAGTGATGTAACCTAGATCCACATTCTAGAATATGTTATTCAAATACATACACTAGAACAAATGTTTACCATTTTTCCAATAGCAGGAAAAAAGAATGTGCTTTGAATTTCAGTGTAAAACATAGAACTTGGGTCAGGATGTTGAGTGCTTAATGAGGATTTGATATTTTTACCTTCAGATTGTTGTTTTATGGCAGAAAATACTGTTTTAAAAGCCAAGCCGGTACCAACATTGTTATAGCTTTTTATTACCAGTATCTTCTTAAAGTCTTTCTGCATTTTCTTTTGACTTCCTCTACTGGCTTTGGAGATTAACATGTTATTAAGAAATGCTTGGGAATAAAGTAATAATGTATTTTATGTATAATAATTGTATTTTAATTAATATTTATTTGTTGTTTTATTGTGAACCGCTCAGTGTCACTTCCTTGTGAGATGGGCGGTATCTAAATTCAATGAATGAATGAATGAATGAATGAATGAATGAATGAATGAATGAATGAATGAATGACTTTGTCTACTACCATGCTCCAAGAAGATTCTAACCCTGTTCTTTCCAGCTTGCCTTCTCTTACTCACACCATACCATTTCCTCGTTCAGCCACTTGAGGAATAGGAGATTATTGTGTTCTTGACATTTGTAATTAAGATATTGAAGAAGTGGCAAACATATCTTCTTATGGGTATTTTCATGTTGCTCATAAAAGTAAAACCTGTATTGCATTTGATTCCACATCAGTACCCAGCTCAGTTGGCAGCACCTAGGCAACATTGATGATGCATACAAGTTTAACAGTAAATAAATAAATAAGTAGATGATGATGATGATGATCTCAAAAAATATAAGCAGGTCTGAACCTGCATCCTGCTTGGACAGGAGACAACCAGAAAAACCCACAGCTGTAGACTAAACTGAAAAGTTGAAAAATAATATGGAAAACACACTATGGCAAATCTCTTCCAAGTAGTTGCCAAAAAACATACAGATATGCAGTCAAGCTCAACTCAACTGAGACGTTACTGTTTTATTATTATTGCAACTGATGTTATTTTAGGCACTGTGTATTTTTTGTTTTAAGCTTCCATGAATCGTAGCTAGAAAAGCAAATTGTATTACTGATATCATTATCAAATGGCCTTCTGGGTATTTTAGGCTGGGAAATTGAAAAACCATCCCGAACTAAGGAAGAGGCAAATCGCTTGCGTGTTGTTGCCACAAAAACTACACAGACATATTCATCAAGTCACCAGGAGACAAGTTCAACTCTGATGTAGATTTTAAATGAAAAGATTAACTGTATACATATGAGAGATTCTGAGATTGGTTGTCATATACACAAATGCAACATTGTGAGGTGCAAAAGATGAAGATTTCTTCCTTTTGAAATGCAGTATGACTTGGGGCAAGCAAGGTGAGAAGGACCCTTTACAGGTAGTCCTCAACTTACCACCACAATTGGGAATGGAATTTCCATTGCTAAGCGATGCGATCATAAAGTGAGATGTCACGTGACCACATTGTTTAGTGACACAATCCTGGCAATTCCCCTTGCCATCATTAAGAAAATTATACTGGTCGTTAGCTGAGGACCACCCCAATCCAGTCCATTCTAAGCTTGGTACCTCCCAGCCTCAAGCTTCAGTAAGGTAAGAGACTGTCTCCAATTTCCCCCCACCTGCCTGTCTCCACCCCCATCTCTGTCCTTTTGGCGGCCCTACACCCTGCCTTGTGGGGCGGTAAGCAGCCCCATAACCATGTGGCTCTGGGACTGTTAGAAGCCCCTGAGCCACAGCATAGCACAAAGCTGCAGCTGCCCCAGCCCAGTTGTGCAAAGCTGCCCCAGGAAGCATTCATTCACACAGCTGCCTTTTCTCCCAGTTCCCTGCACTGACCTTATGCATTTTGTGCCCAGCCCCCGCAGGCGAGGCAGAAACACGCTGCTGCTTTTGCTGTCTCCTTTTTGAACCCAGGTTCTCTGATGAACTTTTCTTACATGTGGCTCCCTGAGCCTTTGGAAAGGGGCTTGCTTTTGTCGGCTTCGTGCTCTACTACTACTACTACTACTACTACTATTAACCTTTTGCATGAAGGCAGCAAAAGCAAACCCCTTTGCAAGCAGTTTCTCTGGCGAATAATTCTTACATGTAGCTCCCTGAACCAACTCCCAGCCCTTTCTCATTGGGTGAAGCCACTTCCTGCCTTCCCCATTGGAAGGGTTCTGGGGTTCTGGGGCTGCTTCCTGCCCCTCAAGGCAGGGCGTAGAGCAGCCAAAAGGGCAGAGGCCAGGGGAAGATAGGCAGATGGGGGGAATTGAAGCACCCCTGTGGCTATGAATTTGGGCGGGCTGTGAAGCACTTGAATTATGATTGTGTGACTGTAGAGACACTGCAACAGCCATAACTTCAAGCACTGGTTGTAAGTAACTTTTTTCAGCACCATTGTAATTTTGAACAGTTGCTGAATAAGTGGTTGTAAGTCGAGGACTACCTGTACAATGCAGATAGCAATTGAATATTTCTCATGAAAATTAGCTAAATCACGCTATTAAAATATTTCTTGTATTTTTATAATTTAGGAGATGAAAAGTCACTAATTCTCCCTGCCAGAGGGTATGTCACTCTTGCATGCAAGAGTAATGGTCACATCCTGCAGAGGATGGATATTGTTATAGGAAGCTGCTAATGATAAGGAGGTTGTCAGAAGTGGACCAGTGAAGGAGAAGGATCACACTGGAGAACTGCTTTCTCTGATAAAGTCTCCTTCAAGTCAACTCCTAGTATACAGTATATGTATTGGACACACTTTGTCATTGTCTTCTTCTGGGATTTATATTTCATCAAACAGTCTGACCTACAACCCTGGAATTATCAGGTGGTTTCCTATCTAACCAGGCTAGGCCCTGCTTAGCTTTTAAGCTCAGACATGATCAGCCAAGTGCTGCTACTTGCTTTGACATTTGGTGATTATTAAAACTCAAAAAATAAGGAGGATATTGCAGTAGGTAGGTGATAATAGTAAGGAAGTTGTCAGAAGACAATGAGCAGAGAAGAAGGAAGCAGATTTTAGAACTGCTGTCTTTGATATACTTAGTGATTATTAATGCCCCAGAATTTACATGTATAGTGGCAGTTCACCAACACTTCTAATGTGGAATGCTGCTTGTGTATATTCTCTTCCTCTCTACAAACGAATATTGTATTTGGGGAGATAGTCATAAAAGTAATATGAAACATTGCTATAGCCCTTTCAGGTTGGTCCAGGAATTTTCATGTATATTGCTTTGTAATCTTGATCATAGTCCTTTGGGATAGATCCATGTTAACCTTATACTGTAAGGTGGGAAGCTGCAGTAATGGTTTGCCTATGGCCATCTGTGAAATTCATAACACAGATGGAGATTAGGATTCAGGGCTTAGTGATCTATCCAGAACTTCTGGGTACTGGAACTATAACTTAAAGAATCCCCAGCCAGTGTAATGAAATTGCATATAGTTCCAACATATGTAGGGACTGAGATTGGCAGGCAGAAACCCATGGCAAGACAGAAGTGTTAAACAATGAACAAGTGTCTTTCAGTCTCAAGACCCTGAAGAAAACATCCAAATTTCCACTGATTCAAAAAGACAGGAGGAAGAGGCTTATAATTTAAACCCTGAGGCAGACATACATTAGCCTTGAGAGTTTTGTGTATCATAGTAGGCAGCTCTTCTGCACACATATGACTTAATTCTTTTTTGCAATAAAGCAAGGTAATCCAGCTGTGTTGTATCTTTGAGCTTCTTCTGTAAGAAAGTTAGGATTTATTGCCATACCTGACATGTGTCTGGGTGGCACCAATTAGGGAAAACTGTCCTGGAGAATAACCATTAAGGATTATGATATCTTATTTAATAGAAACAAAAATACAGTTTATCAAGCCAATTCAAGATTTTAAAATATATGTCTATAGCTCTTATTCAATTGAAGTATCAAACACTAGAATTTCTGTATTTAATGTATTAATTGGAAACACTAATTTCTAATGAGAAGATAGCAACCCACAAAAGTGGGATTTGGTGGATTTTTTTTTTTTTTTTTTTTT